TCCTTCTCCAGCTGATTTTACAGATGAGGAAACTGAGGCAAACAGGGTTTAGTGACTTGCCCAGGGTCACACAGCTAGTAAGTGTCTGAGGCCAGATTTGAACTCAGAAAGAGGAGTCTTCCAAACTCCAGGCCAGGTACTCTATTCACTGCACCATCTGGTTGTCCCCAACAAATGTGCACATTGACCTTGTCTAAAAATGTAAGTCTTATTCTACTTTTTTTTAAATTTTAGGCAATTGGGGTTAAATGACTTGCCCAGGGTCACACAGCTAATAAGTGTTAGGTGTTTGGTCTGAGGCTGGGTTTGAACTCAGGCCCTCCCGGTGCTCTATCCACTTCACCACCTAGCTATTCTTATTCTGCTTCTTGAGTCCATCATTTCTCTGTGACGAGATGCACATCATGCTTCATAATGCACCTCTGGAATTGTGTGTGGGGTAAAAAGAGAGGTGGAGAAGCAGGTTTAGTTGACACGATGGCTAAAGTAAGACCAAAGATTTCCCCAGTCCTTATCTTTATTTCTTCTTGGAACTATGATTATGAAATGAAGCAAAAGAAGATTGGGAGAATGAAAAAAATGAGCTATTCTTTTCATTTTCCATCTTCTGATCAAAGGAATTACATAGAGCATTGAAATTCCAGTGTCTCACTGCGGCAACTTCTCTTGAGACAACAAAGTGATCTCTGAGAGTGGGGAATTAGAACTGAATTCAATGTAGTACATAGGGAAAGAACATCAGTGGCCTGTGGTAGCTTTCAGAGTTCTCTGGCTGATGTCACAGTTATCTGGAGCTCAGCTTTTTGCTGTAAACATCCACATGCTCACCCATTAGAAATATGTCTCTCCGTATATTGCATTATGTATGCAGATACAGTATAAAGCATACATATACAAATAGTTTTTTTCATTCCAAGGGATCCCAAAGCATTTTGCAGATTTAAACTGATATGTAAGCCACAAAGGAATTGATTCCTTCACCACTGAAACATAGACACCTCTGGGGTGAAATGTGGCAACAGTTTGACAGGCAGAGCAGTAGCTTAGGCCAGGAAGGATTTATCCAATTAAAATTATGGGATGAATTTTGGCTGGCAGAATGTAATTACCAGACTTGGAATCAATCCAGGATCCTGAGGTTAACACCCCTCCTCTTGCCAACAGCCCTCCTACCTGCCAACACTCAGAGATGGAGAAGGCTGAATCTGACATAATCACACATAATACTGTTGTGACATCTAAGCACAATGATGATGATGTGAGAAGCATCATGAACCTGTTTTTTTTTAACACTCATTATGTTACTTATTTTTATGCCACATTAGGCTAGAAACCAAATGTCCACATAAATGTTACTTTCTCCAAATCTGTGGTTTTTTTAAAAATTATAATTAGAAATTAAAAATAGATTTAAAAATTAATTTCTTCCTTTCAAAGTTGCTGCTTGGTGGTTATTTCACTTCAAGCAGGGAACTTTATCAAGATGGTGTCATTCACTCCTTGCTGCAAAATGAAAAAGAAATTCCATGGCTTCAGAACACAAATGAATACCAGAAATCAGTGGCCTGGAAAAAGCAGTACTTGGTTCCTGTCCTTTGTAACTTCCTGGGACTAAGTGGGGCTTTGAAAATCAAGGTCTGGGCCTGTTCCTAGGACCTAGTGATTCGAGGTAGTACCAATCAGTTTTATAGACACAGGTCCTCACCAGCTGTGGTACTGAAGTCAGGAGGACATTAAATAGGAGTATTTCCCTTCCTCCCCATTCCAGGGCTTAGGAATCTGGGCTGGGAAATGAGCCCCCTGCTGGCACACAATAAATGGGTGAGATCTGAAGCCTTACAAAAAAAGAAGAAGAAAAGAAAAAAGAAAGAAAGCCAATTTTTAACTAGAAAGAAATGCGAAACTGGGATGGAGTAAAGGCAGTTCAGAGGAAAACTGGGAACAAAAACCAAAATTTTAACTTCTAGGAGAAAAAGAAGCTATTGGTTGGGAGTTTCCAGGGAGCTCCATGGGTCAGGGTGAAAATACAAAAGGATGTGCAATAAGTATTTAGGTCAATCAATTTCTAGGACCTCGAGAAAGGCCCAGTGAGGTCTAGTCTGGCAATATTGTGGACTTGTCTTTTGGCCTATGTCAACATCCAGTGTATTTGCCACTCAGTCCCCTCTTTCTTCAGCCCTGCTCCTGGCTCCCAACAGCAAATTCTAAGGTTTGAGAATGGCTATAGAGCTCCTCTGTGGAGAGCCAGGTGGAGCAGGATGCCTTCAAGCTGCCTGCACTGTACTGGGTCCCTGCAGGCAGAACCGAAGCTTGCTGCTGCTACTGCTGTTGCTGCTAATGCTAAAGCTAATGCTAATACTAAGGTTAATGCTAATGCTAATGTTAATGCTAAGGCTGCTGCTGCTAATACTGCTGCTGTTAATACTGTTGTTGCTGCTGCTGCTAATGCTGCTTCTGCCCCTGGGTGGCACAGGCATGTGTCCTCCAGTATCTTCCATCAGGCTGGCTCCACGCCCTGCCGGAAAGGACACCTAAGGGGCCAAGTGAATGTTGTGCATTCGGGACAAAGACAACATTCCCAGAAGTCATTTGCAGCTAAGAACCTCAAACCTTCAATGTGATTATCAGCTCCCAGAACCAAGACTAGCTTTCTTAGTTCTAGGGGAAAGGGTGATTTTCCCTCCCTTTAGATAAAGGTTTTTGTTGTCTTGAATACAGATTGCTCCAAAAGAACCCTGTGGTGGTTATGATTGTCTCTGATCCCACTGTAATTGGTGGGAAGGACAGTGTAGTGGAAAGGGTGCTGGGTTTGGAGTCAGGGGACTTAAGTTCCAATCATGTAGTACCTAAGTGACTTTGCAAGTTGCTTAACCTCTGCACCTGTTTATTCTTCTGTAAAGTGAAGGCGGAATAACTGGGCTCTAAGGTCTCTTTCAATTCAAATTTTAGGATCCTATGACTTACATAGGTGCTAGATCTCTGATACTGCTTGTGAGAAAATGCCCTCTAAAACCAGTACAGGTCAGCACCTCTCTTCAATTTATAGCCTTAGAATTGCCTAGACTTCTAGGGGGGTTTAGTGACTTGTCCAAGATCACACAGCCAATATGTGTCAAAGGTGATTTTTGAACCCATATCTTCCTGGCTTTAAGGCCAGCTCTCTACCCACTATACCAAGGGCCTTCTAAAAGGAGATTTAAAATATGTTCTAGCTTAACCTGCTCATTTGCCAGAATGACAAACTGAGAACCAAAGCAGTTCAATGACTAGAGTTAGGAAACTCACCGTGACTCCTTTCAAGATGTCTACTATATTCAACACTTAGTAGCACTGCAATTCTAGCTTCAAGGACCTAGAAGGATGGTTTCTCAGCATGACTGACAAAAACAATTTAAAACATGACTGATTGTGGCCCAAGGCATGTGTGGACCGGGCAGGTGAACCTCAAAACCACAAAGTACACAACCCTAGTACTATGTTGGTGACACGAAAGTATTTGGTGTCAGCAATACAGAAGGGAAGAAAAGAAGACATGGCTAGGTTACTCATGTTCAAGTACAATTCTCCCTGGGTCTCCCTTATGCCTGGTATAAGCACCAAGTCCAAGTCTTTGCTGGGGAGGTGGATTTTCTCACACCATCTTTCTGTGAGTTAGCTGTCCACAGGGAATCCAAATGTGGAATGAGAGGATGAAACTAATCCTTTCTTGTGCACTGCTAGGGGTTGCCATAAACACCATTTGTTAAAAAGCATAATTATGTTGGGAAAGTGCCTGATGAGACAATTAAGCTACATAAACACACTGAAAACAAATGAAAACCAGAAGACGCCTACACCCCTTGTGTAAAGCAATTTTTTGTTTACATAGTAACTAGAAAGGTCTGAGAGACTTTATTACAACAATGTTATTAATGTCTATAAAATCTAATAACTATGCTTTTATGAATTTTCAGTTAGGAGATGGCTGTCAGAATGTGAAAATTTGCCTACAGACCTAAAGCAGACGTGAAGCCCCAGAACTGCTCTAGATTAAGTTGATTAGGTCAACATACAGCTTTAGTATACAAAATATGGCAGATATGTCCAGTGAAATCCCTGCCCCACACCATACAACATGTTTGATTTAAATCTTGTCTGAGAATAGATAATTACTGATTCGTATCATATTAATTTCTCACTACAGAGCTGAAGAGGTGCCAAGACCAAATGATGGCCTGATATTGAAAAGGAAATTAATTTTTAAGTGAGATATCTTAAGTTCTTCATACTATTAAAGTATCACTTGGTAGAATGGAAAAAAGAATTGGCTATGTTACTCTGGTGCCCTGAAAAAGTCAGGGTGCCTTCAAAGACAATCTTTTTAACCAGCAAAATCAGCCCTCAAAGTATCCATAAGGAACAATAACCATATGAATCCAAGTACCTTAATCCCCAAAGTACCAGAGTTACCTGGAACTTATGGAATGATTCAGAAACTGTAGAGATAAAAAATTAAAAACTCTTTAAGTCAGTATTAAGCTTATTAGCTTAAACACCCAAATCGAGCACAAAAGTGGTACAAAAGTAATGTTACACTAAGGCATAATCATTTGTCTATGTAACGTCCATATGATAACTTCTAGGAATACCTTTTTGCTAACCATAGCTGAACCTGGAGTAGGAAGGAGGTGCTTATAGCTAAAGAAAGCACTTTATCACTGTCACATTTCTTTTATTCAACCAGATCCATATTAGATATTTTACATACCAGATATTCATCAATACTATTACTAATGTCACAGTTGTATAATTTTATTGTTATTCAAGATTGAAGCAACCGCTTAGAAATAAATTCTTCAATAATTATAATTTATACTGCCTTGTTTTAAAATATATTGTCTTGCACTAGAAAAAAATGAAAGAATGAATGAGTGAAAGAAGCCAGAGACACACAAAAAAAGAATGTGAATAAACCCATAGGGATTGAAACTGAATAATCATTTGTATTTTTCTCTTTTAAGAAATTACAATGTCTTCTAGCAGACTGGGGCTCCGTTTGGCTGCCTGTTTACTAAACATTTCTGAAGCCAGAAGAAAAAACGTAGTTGAGAAAATAGCAAAAGCTGCTCTTTTTGAAGAAAATGGTAAGAAAAAAAATCATTGTAAGTTAGTATTGTAGTTTATTAGTAATATTTTTCTGCTCTGAAAACAATAACTGCAGAGTATTTATTTAGTTTGCCTAATTTTTTCCTTCCTTTCACTCTCTTTGCTTTTCCTGGTGTTTTCCTAGCTGATTTATTATGCAAGACTCCAGGAGACTGAGACAAATCAGCTACACATATGTTTAAGAGTACTATCCTCTTAGAATGCCTACTTACCCTTGACATTGTAATTCCCCATATTTCTGAAAAAACATACTGTATAACATGTTGATGGAGTGCAGAAGGATGAAATCTTTACTCTTGAGACAACGTTATTCTAATATGCCTTTTGATGACATTTTTTACCCTCCTGATTGCTTATTAATAGAAGTGTGTTTGCATAGAACTTGTTACCCACAGAGTTGGAGAATCTTTATAAACCAACTTATTCTTGAAGAATTTCTGGAGAGAAGGATGTATGATTTTTAATTCATTAAAAAAAAAAACTACAAGGACTCAGGCCCCTGCAGTTTAAATGACTGATTTAAGATCACTCAGCAGCTCATTGGCAGGACTTCTAAACAAGACTTTTAGTCTTTTGCCTTCAAAGCCTTAATATTTTGAAGAATGATACTCTTTAAAAAATAAAATAAAACAAAACAACCTCCCAAAAAAACCCCTCCCAAAACATTATTGAGATGTTTTTATGAGGGCACATTATTGCAGGGATATTTAATCATGGTTTTACAATTTTAAAACACTATTCACTTTAAGGCTTATGTAAATGATTTATAGTAAAATAACATTATTATTAATCAGCCTCTCCTTGGCAATAATAGATGAACATTAATGCCATCATCACCAGACAGTACTTAAAACAATGTCTTTGAATAGAGTCATTTGTTTTCTATATTGATTTAAACAGGAAAGGATTTTTTTTAAAGCTGTTTTTAGCTATCAATGTATTTCAATTACTATCTTGAATTCTGGCAGAGGATGGGGCTATCTATAAAAACACCTGTTAAATGCTGATAAGAAAACTCCTTTGGAGTTGGCATGCAGCTGTGCTTTTTCATTCTCTTTGCTTTAAGAGCCAGTTTTGGCTCATCATTTTCAGAAGCAGCAACACTTAATGGGATTGAGTTACCTGTCTCTGTGATTAAGTGAATATGCAAAGAAATTTGTGGAAGCCACACACTGATGGATGCCCAGGTCTTGACTCATAGTTTTTATCAGCTTATTAGTGGCAACAGCTCAAATGGAATTATAGCTATTATGCTCCATTACAAATACCAAACAATTTACTTCTGCTGAGATTCATACTGACAGCTCATCCTGCCAGCAGTAATTTTTTTTTCTATATGTATGCTTAAGAAATTGCAGGAAAGAGTGTTTTATTCTTTCAGCATTTTATTCGATTGAAACATGAAACTGAGAATGAAAGCTTTTCAGAAAAAAAATTGAGGATGAAAAATAAAATAATTTTCTCTCCCACAAAAAGATAGAATGTATTAAAAAAAAACCTACTACAAAGGGAGGAATGGGTGAATTGCTTCCATACATATTGACATATATACATATACATTTAAATGTTTTTTGATAAATAAACATGGAATCAAATAAGACAATGGACAAGTTGTTTTTCAAACATTTCTATAGCATGTATTTTTAAGTTAGTTAAAAGAACAGGATCTTTTTTAAAATGACATTTATAATTAAGTAAAAATAAGAAAATTGAAATTACTTTAGAAGGTCTTAGGTAAAGTTGCAAATATCTGTTCTTAACTCATCACCACAGCAGTGCTTTATGCATGTTTGTCTGGCTATGAGTGAGTGACATATGTTTATCTTCTCACATTATTAAAATTAAATGTTCAATGCTGCCTTAGGCACTGTGGTTCCTGGGTGTAACCTCTTTTTCCCTTGCTCTGAAAAGATTAATTGTTAGACTGCCAGGAGGATACAGGGACAAGGTATATAATAGCAAGAACTAAAGATTAATTACCACCTAAAACTTTTGTCCTTCACTTTGAATTTGTTTTTGTAGGCTTAAGAGAGACTTTTAAAGAGCCAGGCTCAGGCTCGTAAACTTCCAAAATAACTTTGAGGCTTACTGACTGTGTGGCTGAAAGTTTTGGTAAAGGGATGTGGCAACTTTCTCCTCTAGGTCACAAATTCAAGTGAGTCACTAGCCACTGGAAACTGGAAGTCATTAACATCTGAAGGCTGTATGGTGGTCTCTGAAAAGAGCTGATGGTGTCAGGCCTGTCTCTAATGGACAGGTGCATACATCACACAGACCACTAATTGGCAAGCTTCAGATTTGCCAGATGTCAGAGTCTGACCCAGACTAGTAGTGTTGAGGGTGTCAGAAGAAAGGGAAATATGGACAAGGGAAGACTGTGACAGAGGCTGAGAGATATGGATTAGGGTGGAGATTGATAAGGAGCAGTTGGAATGGTGGGAATAAAAAACCCAGAGATTTTGGAATCAAAGCCAGAGATTATGTCTCAGTTTGAGCTGAGAGAACTTGAGCCAACTCCATAGGAAGTCCAGGGGCAGATAGACCCACTGAATGAAGTACAATTCTCAGTTTGGCTCCTCAAGTCAAAAAGCTCACATTACTCATTTCCTACCTATTTCATTCTCAGAAGGTTGTCACCTCCAAGTTTTTCATCCCAGAATTCCCCATTTGTGGATTCCCTTAAATGTAGTCCTTGAAAAATTAAAGAGTCAAAGAAGTATGCCATGTAGAGTTTTTCCTTAAAGCATTAAAATAATTTCTGAGAATCTGTGCTTTGTGTTTTTTTTTCCCTAAAGGAAACGAACATTCTGAAGCTACAGTGCTCAATATATTTTCTGATTATGATTATAACAGATCAGTTATAACAATAGCAGCACCTATTGAGAAGTTGGGTAAGAGTTTTTTTTTAATGTATATATGATGTATTTCTATGGAAGACACAGGGCTGACTGTTCTTTCCTCAGTGATTGCCTGTTTAACTCTGTAGTGCTCTATGTGGAGTTTTTAGAAAGGAACATAATTTCTTTCCATTAAATTGGGAGTCTACTCCAAACAAACAAACAAATAAAACAATGTTTCCTAATTTCCCCAAACCCCTAGGTTAGGGATAGAGACTGGACCTATGATTTAATTCATATAGAAGAGTACCGGATGCATAAGCTCCCTCTGCCAAAGCAGATCTGTACTTTCTTTGCAATTTATAATTTTACAGAGTTGGCAGAGCACTGGGAGGTTAAGTGACTTTTGCCTAGGACCACACAGCCACACCTCTGGAATTGTTTACATTTTATTTATGATTTTTTCTGGGAGTCCAAGGTTAATGGTTTTCTCATGTGGAGGACTGTCTCAGACTGTTGGTGGCTAATAGTCAACTTCAAATCAATGCTTGGGATAAGCATTTTAAAAATGACTATTCCTATTTTTACTGTTTCATCTATTTCAGTAGACATGGAAGAAGCAAGTCCAGCAGTCTGTACCCAGGGTGGGAGTCAGGAACCAGGAGTTTCATCTTCTGTTGTGCTAGTGGTTTGAGATTTACTACCCCTGTTTGAAAATGGAGAAAATAGTTGCTTTATGTTGTCAATTTATTGTGTCTACTATGTGCCAGGCACTGTGTCAAGCTCTGTTGACAGAGATTATGTGTGAGGGTTGATATCATTTGCAAATTAATTAAAATTTTTGGAACAAAAAAAGTTATAAAAATACTATTATTTTATTATTTGGTAAAGGATATATATATATGTATATATATGTAAACAGACAGACACACATATGTATGTATGTATGTACACACACACACACACACACACATACACACACAATTTCTCCCTCCCTCCCCAGGCTTAGTTTTAGACTTGACATATTTTCCTTTTAAAAAGGGCATACTTGGTTTTATTTAAAATGAAGTGCTATCTTGATAAGATAGCTCATAACTCTCAATAATATATGCCATTGATAATTATGATAAAGGAATAAGTTTCCTGTCTACTACTCTTAAGGTGGTACCATACTAGACTGTAGGTAAATACAAAGCCAAAAGCAGAATGGCATTCTCAAGTACCTAAAAATATGATCCTGTGAAATAATTAATAAGAATAGTAGCTAACATTTATGTAGCACTATTATCTCATCTGATGCTCACAGCAAGCTGGGGGGATAGATGCTGTTATTATTCTCAGTTTACAGTTAAGGAAAATGAGGCAATTAGAGGTTAAATGATCATCTGTGGGTCATACAGCTAATAAATATCTGAAGGTGGATTGAAGTCAGATCTTCCTGACTCCAAGTCTAGCATTATATCTACTATACCAACAAGTTGCTAAAGATTAAAGGTTGTCATTCTGACTGGTGCTTGCATTATATTTATTAAAATGTTTTACAAAATAAACATCCTGAAAATAATATGAATTTTAATCAGATTTACCTGATTTAGCCAACCAGAAGAAAACATAAAGAAATCTATTATTATAAGTGGAGTAAGTGGTTTAGAGTCTAGACAGATAAAATGAATGATTTCCCCCCACTCATGGAGTAAAAAAGTTAGTTAAAAAGAAAAGTAAACTTTCTTGACAACTGAGGGGGTTTGTTGAATGTTTTATTTTCAATTAATGTAGGGTGGAGACAACCCATAAACAGACCATTGGAGGAAAAACAAGTGGTAATTAAGGCTTTGGGAGCAATTTAAGTATCATTCTTAATTTTATATTTCTTAGTCAATTCCGTTCTTGCTGCATGTGTGGAGGCTTTCCAGGTGATCGATATGGAGGTTCAAGAAGGAATTCACCCTTGCCTTGGAGCAGTGGACCTCATTCCCATCTACCCTCTTTCTGGAGTAGGAGTCGAAGAGTGTGGAATGGTGGCCAGAAGTAAGTAAAAGTTTGGGCTTGTGTGTTATTCCCAAATGTAAACAGGTTTCCCAAACCGAAACAGCTTGTGTGGCAGAGAAGAATCATTCGGGGACTCCCTCTGAAAAGGAGGGCTTTAAGGAATTGTATGACCACAATCTGTGATGATGCAGCTCTCCTTGACTGCATGCAGCGTTATCTCCATTGGGGGAGAACTCTCGCTCTTCTTCTCTATGATGTTGTACAACTTGAGATGCTTAAGTAGTATGTGGCAGAGAGACCACTGAAAATTGGGTTCCTACCTCCCCATGTAGGCTCACCATAGATAATGAGGCAAACAACGGTAGTTTCTAATGAGTTCCTTAAACTATTATGGCAGTATGGTAGTGTAGTTTGCCCATCTGTGTCTTATTTTCTTTGAGAGGGGGTAATGATGAGGTTGAAAAACCCACTTAGATTTTAACTCCTCCCTTGCCTCTGATTTTCTCGCTTTCACTTACCGGCTGCCTTTGGTAAGATTTCCTTTGGAACTAAAATGTCACATGTTTGCCTTTCACCCCAGGGGTGAGTTTAATTTGGAAATTTTGAGCCATGTCACTTGAGGTGTTTTTGAATTAGGTAAATTGAAGGGGAAAGGATCCTTTGCCTGGACTGTCTAGCTGAACTACTGTTAATTACAATATATACAGGCTCATAACAGTTGGGGGAAATTCTGTCTTTGGATAATTGCATTCTTCTTGGTATGACTTCAGTAGGAATGGCATATCTCCTTTTTATTAGTTTTCTTTCTCTTTTTAAAATAATGAATTGCCTAACATTTTGGCTATAAATTTGGAATTTAGATGAGACAAATGGTAACAGATACATCGAATGCTACAAATAGGAAGCGTGATTATGTTTCCAAAAGAACATTTCACAGCTTATCCTGCATTTTAATGTGACCTGATGATTGGAGAAGCCATTTCCCAGGGAAATTTGGGCCAGCATTGACTTCATTTTTAATCTAACAATGAGTTAAGGTTCAGTATAGGAAAAGAAAATGTTTTTCAGGGGGGAAAAAAAGGAAGTGTTCAGAACTGTCCAGACCAGATAATGATTTTAATTGTCTTCAAATCAATGATAGATAATTACATTAAACCTCAAATTAGCTAACACATGAAGGACTTCATTACAACAGGCCCAGGCCTCCCCAGATGTTCTTCCTGTGTAGAAGACAGTTGTGTATCATAGGACCAGGCTACAGTACTTTTCCCCTCCCTCACCCTTTTGGTTTGTTGGCAGCTACTGTACCTCATGATTTAAACATGGACATTTCTAATTAAATGAGAGCTCAGCTGCATTCTTGAACTAATTTATAACATTTGATTTGAAATGTAATAGCTTCAATCTTCCTCTGATTAAAAACAGTCGTATACTATACATGGTTACTATTTTGATGCTCCAACATGCAGTTTTTATTTTTACATTCCCCTTCCTACACAGCTGTTCAACTAATATCTTCCAATATTTTTTTAATTTTTATTTTTTGGTAACAGCATGTTCATAAGGCAGAGCTATTCAAATTCCACAATGCTTAAGTTCTCAGAAAAGTGGTGGGATATTTTTCAACTCTTAGAGGGAAAACCTTCCTGAAGAAATCAACCATGGTGTTTAAACTGGTGATTAGGTGTGGGTGTTGTTTTGTTTTATTCTGAAGAGGAGAGGGAGAAAAGGAGAGGGGAGTTTTCACAAGTCATTAAATCACGGTAGAATTGCCGAAGGAAGGTCTGGTAATTCACGAATGTCATTCCAACTGTCTCTTCCTTTCAAAGCCATTGTGTCTGCTCTGGTTTCCCTTTTCTCACTTTAGAATGTTGAACCCTGTAGTTAAACTGGACACTGTCTTCTCTCTTGAATCTCTTGATTCCTTGTCCTGACATCACTCATTCCTTCCCAAACAACAATCCTGAATTAATCCTGCCATAAGCTTTTTGTGTTCCTGCTCCTTTGCTCCTGAACAGCAGTGGAGGAAGTTACACAAATGTGCTGAATCCCCTACAAATTTTTGTTATCCAATCTCAGCCGGCCCCTTGTTGCTGAACACTAATTCTTTTTCTCTTCCCTAATTTGATGTCTATCCCACTTCCATTAGCATATGTTTCAGACCTTCTCTTTTCAAATAATGTATATCATCTTCTCCCTCTCAGCAGAGGATGTTATCTCACACTTAGTTGAAGAAGTTGAGGCCATATGTCTCATGGTCCCTCTTCTTCCCAAGTCTACACTTCAAATAATATCTACATCATTCCCCACTCTCTCCTCCTTTGCTCTAGTCTCAGCAGAAGAGGTAGCCCTTCTTGTAAATCCCTGCCCCTCTACTTGTGCCCTTGATTCTACCCTCTTCCATCTCCTCTGTGAGCTTGCCTCTTTGATCCTCTCTCTAATTCTGTTTCTCCAAATCTGCTGTCTTTACTTCTTACAAACATGCTCAGATCTCCTTCACTTTAAAAGCTTCTGCTGAACCTTATCATCCCCTCAAGTTATTGTCTTACATAGCTTCTTTTCACAGCCAAATTCCTAGGATAAAGAAAAAGAAAAGCAAACAAAAAATGTAATGCCTCTGGTTCCTTCCTTCTCACTTCCTAACACCTTGCAATGTGACCTGTAGCATCATCATTCAATTAAAACTTCTCTTTATGTGGAAACACAATCACGCTTCCTATTTGTAGCACTCAATGTATCTGTTATCATTTGTCTATAACATTACCAATGATCTCACTGTTTCCAATTCTAATGGCTTTTTCTCAGCACTCTTACTTGTTGACCTCTGCAGCATATGACACTATTAATTACCATCTCCTAGATACTCTCCATTCTCTGGGTTTGTCCTACACTCTTCTCTTCTGACTTGTTCCTAATTGGTTATTTCTTTTCAGTCTCTTTTGATGTCAACATTTATGTTGACATCCTCCCACTTATATGTCAGTGCACCCTAGGGCCTTCTTCTTTCTCATTACTATACTCTTGGCTATCTCATCTGCTCCTGTGAGTTTAGTTATCAACTTTAATCAGACAGCTCCCACATTTAAATTTCAAGCCTCCATCTTTCTCCTAACCTATAATGCCACAACACCAACTGCATATTGAACATCTCCAACTGGATATCCCATTGGTATCTGAAATTTAGTATGTTCAAAATGGAACTCTCTTCCCCAAACCGACCCTTCTTTCTCTCTTTGCTAAGGACACCACCATCCTTCTGGTCACTGAATTTTGCAATCTCGTAGTAATCTCTTACTCTTCCATTTCCCTCACAATATGAAATCCAGTCAGTTGACAATCCTTGTTGATTGTTCCTTTGTAATAAATCTCCCATCTGAACCCTTTTCTCCATTTGCCCAGCCACTAGTCTGGCTCAGGCCCTCATCACCTCTCACCTGGACTATAGCAATAATCTCCATTCAGACTGTCCTTTCCAGTTTATTGTACACATTGCTGTCAAATAAATATTCATGAAGCACAAGTCTGACCTTGTCACTTCTTGCCTCAAGAAACCCCATTGGCTCCACTTCCCTCCATAATAAAATGTAAACTTTTGTTTGGTTTTTAAAAGTCCTTTACCATCTGACTCCACCCTTCCAGTCTTATTTCATATTACTCTCTTTTCTGCGCTTTATGTTCCACACAAACCATCCTACTTGCTGTGCCCCATCCATGACGTTACATTCTAGTACCTGTGCCTGTAGGTATAGTCCATATCCCATTCCTAGAATGCCCTCTTTACTTCCCTTTGCCTCAGGGAAACCCTGAGTTCTTTTGGGGCTTAGCTTAGGGTACTACTCCCTACAGGAAACCTATCCTGATTCGCCCAATTGCTAGTACCCCCCAATTGCTTTGTGTTTTCATTTATATATTTTGCATTTAATATTCTATGTACATGCTGTTTTCTCCCAATAGGATGTGAACACTTTAAAGGCAGGGATTGTTTTTCATCTTTGCATCCTTAGCACCTAGCACAATGCCTGACACTTATTAGACACCTGATAAAAATGCTTGTTGCTTTTTTCCTGTATAAAAACATTATTGGACATGATGTGAAGGAACTTTTTGGTTTGAATCATGTTTACTTCTATGGTAAAGACAGACAACCATTCCATCAGACTATGGTCCTTCTACTGCTTAAAGGCCAGCTTACATCTTACATATTATATAAAGTCTTCTTGTTCTGAGAAAAATGTGACTCTATATAAAATTTGTCCCACTTGGTGTAGCTAGGTGGTGCAGTGGACAGAGCACTGGGCCTGGAACCAGGAAGACTCATCTTCATGAGTTCAAATCTGACCTCAGATATTTACTAGCCGTATGACTCTAAGCAAGTCACTTAAGCCTGTTTGCCTCAGTTTCCTCATTTTTAAAATGAGCTGGAGAAGGAAATGGCAAATCACTCCAAAATCTTTGCCAAGAAAACTCCAAATGGGATCACAAAGGGTTGGACATGACTGCAACAACTGAACAAGCAACAAACGAAATTTGGTATTAAGCCCTTCAAAAGTGACTTATCTTCCATGTGTAGGAAGAGTGTGTGTGTGTGTGTATGTTCATGTGAATGTGTGTAGAAGTTTGATGTTATTTGTGCTTTAGTACAAGTGTATTTATGTGTATATGTATAGCTCTAAGGGGCAGCTATGTGGTAAAGTGGATAGAGTGTTGGACCTGGAGTCAGGAAGATTTATTTTTCTGAGTTTAGATCTGGTCTCAGACACTTAAGCTATGTGACCCTGGTCAAGTCACTTAACCTTGTTTACCTCAGTTTCCTCATCTGTAAAATGAGCTGGAGACAGAAATGGCAAACCGCTCCAGCATCTTTGCCAAGAAAACCCCAAGTGGGGTCATGAAGAGTCAGACATGACTGAAAAACATCTGAACAAAATAGTTCTGTGTATGTATGTACTTTTTGACATTGTGACTATTTGTTTCTCTTGTAACTAGCCCATGATCTTGCGCAAGACACTTCCCCTGTCTTGGTTTTAGTTTGCTTTTCT